AACACCAGCTCCAGGAAAACACACTCTCTGTCTGACCTTTCTGTCTCTATTACAAAATGCACGGTCCATATATCTTACCTGAGAATCACCTATTATTAAAATATTCTTACCTTGATTTGCAGAGGAATCGGTGGTACCTTCAACCTCACTAACCACTGAAGTACACTCGTCTTGGAGTACAGAGAATCGATTTCCTACCTTCACATCTTCTCTATTAACTCTCCTCATCTTCCTTCTTCCTGAACTGTGAACCACTTGCCACTTAAAGTGGCTGCCACTATCACTGCTGGTGACCATTCCTACCTTACCACACTTCTCACACTCGCTCCCAAACTCATCTATGCGAAGTTTCAGCCTCTTATTTTCCTCCCGAAGAAGTAGAATATCCTTCTTCAACACTTGAACCCGAGATTCAAAAGCACTACAACAAGCCACGGTGCTTGGTCACAGCCCACGCTAACTCCCAAGAGCTTAGGCAGGTATGACCACACGTGACCACTGACCTCAGCGTACTCCATGTCATCAAAGTAGAATGACATGGAGAGCGTATAAATCTGTAGGGGAAGGAAGGCGGGGTAGGGGTCGTCCTCAAAAAGGTTGGGAGGAAGGGGTAAGGGAGGTTTTGTGGGAGAGGGGCTTGGACTTCCAGCAGGCGTGCATGAGCATGTTCGATAGGAGTGAATGGAGACGAATGGTATTTGGGACCTGACGATCTGTTGGAGTGTGAGCAGGGTAATATTTAGTGAAGGGATTCAGGGAAACCGGTTATTTTTATATAGCCAGACTTGAGTCCTGGAAATGGGAAGTACAATGCCTGCACTCTAAAGGAGGGGTTCGGGATATTAGCAGTTTGGAGGGATATGTTGTGTATCTTTAAACGTATATGCTTCTAAACTGTTGTGTTTTGAGCACCTCTGCAAAAACAGTGATTATGTGTGAGTGAGGTGAAAGTGTTGAATGATGATGAAAGTATTTTCTTTTTGGGTCACCCTGCCTCGGTGGGAGACGGCCGACTTGTTAAAAAAAAAATAATAATAATAATAATAAAATATTTTAATACAATGTTTGTACAGAGATGAGTGACATTTAGGTGTACATGCAGAAAGCCCCTTAACATGAAGAGCATTCTGGTTGTGCAAGACAGGTATACAATACCGACAAGATGAAAGTTAAGACACTTGTGCAACATCTGGTTATCTTTACTGTAAACGTTTCGCCATCCAGTGGCTTTATCAATACAAATTCTTGGACATAATTAGAAAACAGAAGAACTATATACAAAAGATGAGGTAATCAGTCCCTCAGCCTTGGAGGTGGTGTTTACAACCACGGTGTTGTAAACACCACCTCCAAGGCTGAGGGACTGATTACCTCTTCTTTTGTATATAGTTCTTCTGTTTTCTAATTATGTCCAAGAATTTGTATTGATAAAGCCACTGGATGGCAAAACGTTTACAGTAAAGATAACCAGATGTTGCACAAGTGTCTTAACTTTCCAGAGCATTCTGGGCAAACTTAAGACTATCTTAAGACTAAAGGCAATTACTAATTGATTGCTCATATACAGTAGTCCCTCGTTTACCGTCGTTAATCTGTTCCTGGAAGTGCGACAATTATCGAGATAGACGATTTTTGAATCAATTTTCCCCATAAGAAATAATGTAAATACAATTAATCCGTTCCTGACACCCAGAAATATTAAAACAAAAATTTTTTTTACATGAAATATATATGTAGTACATAAACAATACAATGGGACATGATGAATGAAACATTAACAGCGTAACACTTACCTTTATTGGCGATTCTTCTTAGTGTACGGAAAACTGGAGGAGGAGAGAGATTGGATTAGTTACTGTTTGGAAGGGGAATCCCCTTCCATCAACACCCAGGTACCAAGTCCTTTTCTGGGGTTACTTTTCTCTGTTTCTTAATGCCACTAGGACCAGCTTGAGAGTCACTGGAGTCCTGCCTCACAAAAAAATTGTCCAGAGAGCTATGTTTCTGGCGTCTCTTTAAAACTTCCCTAAAATAGGCCAAGACTCTGTCACTGTACAAGCTGCCGATATGGCTTGCAACATCTTTCTCAGGGTGATGTTTCTCCAAAAATCTTTCCATCCTACCCCACATTTCAAAAATCTCCTTAATTTCTGAAGAAGGCACCTTCTTCTATCTCTCTTCCTCCTCCTCTGCAGCAAGATTCTGAGCTGCGATCTTTTGCTGTTCCTGCTGAAGCTCTTGCAGCTCCTCAGCAGTTAGCTCTTCGTTGTGGTCCTCCACCAACTCTTCCACATCCTCCAAGCTCACATCCAACCCCATGGAACTCCCCAATGCCACAATAGAGTTCACAACTGACATAGGCTCATCAGCGTCAGCCCCAAACCCTTCAGATTCCCTCTTTTGGACACAATCTGGCCACAATTTTCTCCAAGCAGAGTTCAAAGTCCTGGTAGTCACTAGTAAGTAAGTAAGTAAGTAAATTTATTCAGGTATACACAATACAGTTACATAGAATTATCATACATAGCAGCATATGTGTAGAGAACCTAGGATAACCCAAAAAAGTCAGACAGAGTGACTTATTTCCATTGGGGTCCAAGCCTTACCTATAACGCTTTCATACTGTTCAATGATGTTTTTCTTAAATTCAATCATATTTCTCACCTTCTTTACCAAAGGCTTGGCACTAGGAGTTTTCTTTGGAGTCATGGTAGCTTATTTAGGACTTGCAAGCACTAAAATGAATGGAATATTATGAAATATTTCATATGAACAAGTGAGGGGACCATCGCTCACTGGTAAACAATGGCACACTGGCTGGGAAGGGAGGCCGATTATGCTCAGAGCTATGAGTACGTGTCCAGGATGAACAAGGATTAGCGAGTCAACCGACCATATGCGAGCCAATATTTGGACGAAAATAACGAGACAATTTCCAAAAAGGACAACTATCGAGCTGGACGATTATCGAGGGACCACTGTATATTGTCTCTAAGTGGTGGTAACAATAAAACAATTTTTTCTTTATCTTTCAACACACTGGCCACATCCCACTGACACAGGGCAGCCCAAAAGGAAAAACTAAAGTTCCTCCTTTTAAATTTAGTAATATATACAGGAGAAGGGGTTACTAGCCCCTTGCTCTCGGCATTTTAGTGGCCTCTTACGATACGCATGGCTTACGGAGGAAGAATTCTGTACCACTTCCCCATGGAGAATAAACACTTTTATCGAGTTTGTTTCAAGGATTACAGGTTGGCTCATCATTACAGGTAATGAGGTTTCCAGCATAATAGCATGTTTTGAAGACATTCAATATATTTAATGGTTGTGAGGTTACAGATTATGAGAATGAGAATACTATATTGTTTTCCAGTGAGAATATGAAAATATACTTTTTATTATGTTTAGCTGATGTTGGGCTATGTTACTGAGAGAAGCTGTTTTTTATGGTAGTTTTGAAGATGCTGGCTGAGACAATGGCTCTAGAGATTTCCAGCAGAGGGGTTCCAGATTTTGGGCCACTTTGGCCACACATGGGGTATGCTGTGTCTATGAGTTCTGTGGCAACTATCAGGAAAGTGAGGAAATGGTATGGTGATACTGACAAGATGTGGAAAAAGACACTTATGTACAGTTCAGGACATTTATTAGAGGAAACGTTTCGCCACGAGTGGCTTCTTCAGTCCTAATGCAGAGAAAACTAAGAAAACATTATATATAGTGGCAGGAGTCAGGTGAGGTGACCCGTGGGTAGAGGTGGTAGTAGTAGTAGTGGAACTAGCATCACCTCCTTAGTTCCACTACTACTACTACTACTACCACCTCTACCCACGCGTCACCTCACCTGACTCCTGCCACTATACATATACGTTTTCTTAGTTTTCTCTGTATTAGGACTGAAGAAGCCACTCGTGGCGAAACGTTTCCTCTAATAAATGTCCTGAACTGTACATAAGTGTCTTTTTCCATATCAGGAAAGTGTTTCAGGTCAGGACTGATATTCGAGTTTATTGTCCTGTATATATTGTATGCACAGTAGAAAGACTGAATGTTACATATATTAAGTAGGTTTAGGCTTTTGAAAGTTAAGGAGCACGTTGCCTGGCAGTAGAAAGAGTGAGCTTTCGTACTGCTGCTTTTTGTTGAGTTATTAATGGCTTAAGGTGATTGGCTGTATTGGATCCCCAAGCATCAACAGCATAGGTCAGGTAGGGACTGATTAGAGAGTAGTATAACATGAGTATGGCTGTTGGAGTTATGTAGTAATGTATCTTGGAGAGGATACCACCTGCTTTGGAAACTTTTTTTTTTGTAATGTTTTGGATTATGTTTAGTCATAGGAGTACTGCTAATCATAATGTTTAGTTGAACATTACTTGCTCTGCTCCCAAACATAATGTAGGTCTTGTCAGTGTTAAGTGTGAGTTTACTGGGAGTCATCCAGGTTGATATTTTTAAGAGCTCTTCATTATCAGTGTTGTTCAGGGATGCTAGATGTAGATTTGGATGGGAGATGACAAATGCTGAGTCATCAGTTAAGAAAATATGTCTAAGTTGCTGTGAACCATTAGGAAGTTGTTTAAGTTGCTGTAAACTGTTAGGATGGTTGTTTAAGTTTCTGTGAATCATTAGGAAGGTCATTTAAGTTGTTGTGAATCATTAGGAAGGTCACTGATGGTAATAAGAAATAATAGAGGGCCCAAGACACTGCCCTGTGGCACTCCTGTGTTAAATTGATGTGGTTGCTGCAAAACAGTCACTGATGATCACATATTGATGTCAGTCACTGACTGTATAAGAGATACTGATGTCAGTCACTGGCTGTATGAGAGACACTGATGTCAGTCACTGACTGTATGAGAGACATCTCATCCCATAATGTTGAAACATGAGCAGCAGCATACTATGATCTAAAAGTGTGTACATCATGTGCACATGACTGCCACACATGCTAACATGCACTACCAACATGCTGACATTAGTGTGAACATTTTTACCTCATCTTCTGATGGCTAAACCAGAGAATATGCTTAGCTGAGAAGAGACCAGATTAACTCAGCTTAAATCTAGCTAGGTTACGTCAGCTTAATTCATCTTAAATCTGAATAGGTTAGATAAGTTTAACCCATCTTAAATCTGGCTAAGTTATGTCAGCCTAATTCATCTTAAATCTGGCTATGTTACGTCAGCCTAATTCATCTTAAATCTGGCTACATTATGTAGCTTAATTCATCTTACATCTGGCTAGGTTAGATCAAGTTAATTAAGCTTAAATCAGGTTTTAAAATCCTTATATAAATAGTACTGACACAATAGTAAGCCTAGGGTACACTTATCTTAGGATACAACTAACAGATCTAGAATAAACTTATCCTAGAACACAATATAGTCAGCAGGCATAGGATACACTGAGCCTAAGATATATATTAAAATCAGTGATCCTAGGATGTGTAAATCCTAGCATAGTGATCCTAATACAGTGTTCCTAGTATAAAGTGACCCTGGTACAATGACTAAGATAGTGGCCCTAATATACAGTGATCCTAGTATCGTGGCCCTAGTTTACAATGATCCTTGTTTGGTGACCCTAGTATACAGTGATCCTAATATAGTGACCTTAGTATGCAGTGATTCTAGTATACGGTGACTCTAGTATATAGTAACCCAAGCATACTGTGAGGTTAGCATAGCATATGGTAACCCTGGTATAGTGACCCTGGTACACCATAACCCTAGCAATGGTGAGTTTAGTATACAGTAACCTACTATATAGTGACCCTAGTAGAGTAACTCTGGTATACAGTGATCCTAGTATACAATGAGCCTAGCATACAGTGACTAGTATACAGAAACTAGTATACAGTGAGCTTAGCATACAGTAAGCCTAGCATACAGTGAACCTAGTATAGTGACTAGTATACAGTAAGCCTAGCATACAGTGAACCTATTATACAGTGACTAGTATACAGTGAGCCTAGCATACAGTGAACCTATTATACAGTGACTAGTATACAGAAGCCTGGTATACAGTGACCCTAGAATACAATAAGCCTAGTATACAGTAACCTTGGTATATAGTGATCCTAGAATATAGTGAGCCTAGTATACAGTGAGCCTTGTATACAGTAACCCTGGTATATAGTGATCCTAGAATAGAGAGAGCCTAGTATACAATAACCCTGGTATAGTGACCTTAGTATACAGTAACCCTGGTATAGTGACCCTAGTATACAGTAACCCTGGTATAGTGACCCTAGTATACAGTAACCCTGGTATAGTGAGCCTAGTATACAGTGACCCTAGTATACAGTGAGCCTAGCATACAGTGACCTTGGTATAGTGAGCCTAGTATACAGTGAGCCTAGCATACAGTAACCCTGGTATAGTGACCCTAGTATACAGTGAGCCTAGTATACAGTGAACCTAGTATACAATGAGCCTAGCATACAGTAACCCTGGTATAGTGAGCCTAGTATACAGTGAACCTAGTATACAATAACCCTGATATAGTGAGCCTAGTATACAGTGAGCCTAGAATACAGTAACCCTGGTATAATGAGCCTAGTATACAGTGAGCCTTACATACAGTAACCCTGGTATAGTGACCCTAGTATACAGTAAGCCTAGTATACAGTAAGCCCAGTATACAGTGAGCCCAGTATACAGTGAGCCTAGTATACAGTGAGCCGAGCATTCAGTAACCCTGGTATAGTGAGCCTGGTATACTGTGAGCCTAGTACACAGTGAGCCCAGTATAGTGAGCCTATCATACAGTAATCCTGGTATAGTGACCCCTAGAATACAGTAATCCTAGTAAAGAGTAAGGATAGACTAAGGTTAGTACATACCTGAACAACAACGGTACAATCAGAAGGTCCCAGTGAGGCCACTACTGACTCGTAAGTACTGGACAGTTTGTCATCAATAACTTGACAACCCTGGACATCAATCACTGCTAACACTGGACGATGATCACTCTGCTTCAACTCTGCACACCCATAGTGAACAATACGACCTGTGGATGTACATATGTTGTACAGTGTGTGAACATGTTCAATACACATGTAGTGGATGTAGGGGACCGTGAGGAGTGAAGATGTGGCAGGGCTAGGAGCTGTGACTTGACCCCTACAATAACAAATAGGTGAGTACATACACACACAATTCCTTTGTATAAAGGCAAAGGGGACAAAAGAGAGTGTAAGAATTATAGGGTGTAAGCCTGTTGAGCATACCTGGGTAAAGTGTATGGTGGAGTTATTATTGAAAGAATTAAGAGAAGATGGAGAGCTGGATTGCAGATGAACAAGGCTTTAGGAAGGGTAGAGGATGTGTTGACCAAATGTTTACAGTGAAACAGAGAGGTGAACAGTATTTAGATAAGGGTACAGAGGTTTTTTGTTGCATTTATGGATTTAGAAAATGCTTGTGAATGGGTAGATAGGAGAGCAATGGGGCAGATGTGAAAAAAGTGAAATTGCAAGATCTTTTGTTATTTCTTATAGTATTACCAAGGAATACTAAAAATAAGAGGACAACAAAAGACTTATAAGGATGACATATGACCTTACACATGACCCCACACACGATCTCACACACAACACGAGCATGGGAGTGTAGTGAATATTTGGTCAGGTCATGTGTCAAGTACAATTTAAGAGTGCCATATCATAGTCTAAATTCCTCACAGATTCTATTTATTATGCAAGAATCTAACTTATACAACCTAAAACTTATATTCATGTTGAAATCAATACAGTGGTACCCCAAGTTTCGTACAGCTCCCAACTCAAACAATTATGTAAGTACAGTGGACCCCCGCATAACGATGGCATCACATAGCGATTATTTCGCATACCGCTTACTTTAATCGCAAAATTTTTGCCGCGCATACCGATTAAAAACCCGCTCACCGATTTTCGTCCGAGACGCGTCCAATGTGCGCCCTCACCCAGCCTCACATGTGCCGCCCGTGCCATTGTTTACCAGGCAGCCTCCGCGCTAACATCCAAGCATACACTCGGAATATTTCGTATTATTACAGTGTTTTCGGTGGTGTTTCTGGAAAATAAGTGACCATGGGCCCCAAGAAAGCTTCTAGTGCCAACCCTGTGGTAAAAAGGGTGAGAATTAGTATGGAAATTAAGAAAGATTTTGAAGGGTTTGGGGCTAACCCTGAGAAGCCTATGCCAGTTGTGGAATCCATTGTGCCTACTTCAAAGATTAAGGAAATGTGTGCACAGTGGGTTGAACTGCAAACCTTTATGGATGAAAATCACCCTGACACAGCTGTTGCAAGCCGTGCTGGTGACTATTTCAATGACAATGTTGTGGCCCATTTTAGACAAATCGTAAAGGAACGGGAGGTACAGAGCTCTATGGACAGATTTGTTGTGCGACAGAGGTCCAGTGACTCTCAAGCTGGTCCTAGTGGCATTAAAAGAAGAAGGGAAGTAACCCCGGAAAAGGACTTGCTACCTCAAGTCCTAATGGAAGGGGATTCCCCTTCTAAACAGTAAGAAGATAATGCTCTCCCCTCCTCCCATCCCATCAATCATCACCAGATCTTCAATAAAAGTAAGTGTCTTGTAAGTGTGCATGCCTTTTTCAGTTTGTGTGTATTAAAATTAACATTTCATGTGGTAAAAAATTTTTTTTTTCATACTTTTGGGTGTCTTGCACGGATTAATTTTATTTCCATTATTTCTTATGGGGAAAATTCATTCACATAACGATTATTTCGCATAACAATTACCCCTCTTGCACGGATTAAAATCGTTAACCGGGGGTCCACTGTATATTATTGTAAGTGCTTTTGTAAATGCATTTTTTGGGGTCTGAAATGGACTAATCTAATTTACATTATTCCCTATGGGAACAAATTTGTTTGGTAACGGCACTCGAACAGCCATCTGGAATGAATTATGGCCGAAACTTGGAATACCACTGTAACACTTTTTTTTTAATGAAGCATGATTTGATTCCGCTTCTCTCAACCATAGACCTGCTTGATACATCTTTCTCAGCCTTTTGAAAATCAATTGGATGGTTAACCCTTTGACTGTTCTGGTCATATATATACGTCTTACGAGCCAGTGTTTTGGACGTATATGTACTCAATAATTCTAGCGGCTTCAAATCAAGCAGGAGAAAGCTGGTAGGCCCACATGTGAGAGAATGGGTCTGTGTGGTCAGTGTGCACCACATAAAAACAAATCCTGCAGCACGCAGTGCATAATGAGAGAAAAAAACTGACCGCTTTTTTGGATTAAAATGCCGACTTTGAGGTGTATTTTCGTATAATATTTATCGTTGTATTCTCGTTTTCATGGTCTCGCATGATAAAATGGAAAACACATTGCAGAAATAGAGATGATTTTGATTAGTTTCACGATGAAAACGACCTTGAAATTGAGCTCAAAGTAGCGGAAATGTTCGATTTTTACCAATGTTCAGGAGTAAGCAAATCACACCCCATGTCCAATACACGTCAATTGGGGAGTCTAATATTCTTTCACTGGTGCACTGATATTATTTATACCATTTTTACAATAATGCAGTAGTCTGCATAACAGTAAATTTTGCATGAATTAAAAATAAAAATAGAAAGCAATAGTAATATAAAAGGGGCCTAGAGACATGACTAATGAACAGAAGATATGTTATTTTAGTGCCAAGAATTTCTACATTGTTTATTCTGGACCATATTTTGAAATTGGCATCTTTTTTAATTTGCGTGAAATTGGCCAAATTGCCAATTTCTGACCACTTTATTGGGTAGTTTACATCGGTAAATGGGCGGTTTCTTGTACTCAACTGATAGAAAAAATGGAGTTCTAAAGAAATAGCTATGAGTTTGGTCAACTGGAACACAGAATTGGCCAAAAACAGGGCTCAAAGTCGGCGAAATTGCTGATGCATATGTGTCGCCGAGAGCGCTAACTTCACGGGAGCATAATTTCGTGAGTTTTCGACTAAATTTTGTACTTTTGGTGCCATTACCATCGGGAAAAGATTCTCTATCATTTTATAAGAAAAAATAATTTTTTCTCCTCAAAAAATTTTGCGACAGAATGACAGTTTCAGAAAGGGGCTTGCGACAGTTAAAGGGTTAAAATCTCTCACATGAATAAATAGAGCATTATACGTAATCTTATCCAGTTCTAATGCTGTACAGTGGACCCCCGGTTCACGAAGCCATCGGTATCCGATAAATCCAGTATCCGAAGCATTATAGCGCAAAAAATTTGCCTCGGTTCCCGTTACAAAACCCGGTATGCGATACGATTCTTACGAGACGTGTCCAGTGTTTACAAGCCAGCCAGTGTGCGCGCATCTAAGGATACATTTGGTACATTCTATATTATCCATATTATCAGTGTTTTTGGTGCTTGTTTCTGCAAAGTAAGTCACCATGGGCCCCAAGAAAGCTTCTAGTGCCAACCCATCGAGACCAAGAGTGCTAATGACTATTGAAATTAAGGAAATGTGTGCAAAGTGGCTTGAAGTGCAAACCTTTTTGATGAAAATCACCCTGACACAGCTACTGCAAGCCGTGTTGGCAACCTGTACACTGACAATGTTGTGAACCACTTTAGGAAAGTCATAAAGGAAAGAGAGGTACAGGCCTCTATGGACAGATATGTTGTGCGACAGAAGTCCAGTGACTCTCAAGCTGGTCCTAGTGGCATTAAAAGAAGAAGGGAAGTAACCCCGGAAAAGGACTTGCTACCTCAAGTCATAATGGAGGGGGATTCCCCTTCTAAACATTAAAAACTTCAACACTCTCCCCTCCTCCCATCCCATCAATTATCACCAGATCTTCATTAAAGGTAAGTGTCAATTATTCTATTGTGATTATTCTATTGTTATTATTGTTATTGTAATTATTATATTGCATTAATCTTAATATATCATGTGGTAAAAGTTTTTTTTTTCATACTTTTGGGTGTCTTGCACGGATTAATTTGATTTCCATTATTTCCTATGGGGAAAATTGATTCGCTTTCCGATAATTTTGGTTTACGATGAGCTCTCAGGAATGGATTAATATCGTGAACCGGAGGTCCACTGTATTTATGTTGTTGTAATCTTAGTTAAAGGCATTTTCCAGTTTGACTGTAATAAATTTCACTGTATTTTTGACAAGGAATCCTGTAGGCAGAGCCACACCATTTTTCGGATAATTCTAAATAAAAATTTTTTTTTTTTACTCTATCAAGATTGTTAAATACAACTTTGATTTTGAAATTCTACAGTAGAGAATGTATATCACAAAGGTTTTCATACCTCGAGAGGGTTTCAGGAATCAATGCCCCCATGGCCTGGTCTGTGACCACGCCTCATGGTATGGAAGACCCAACATATTCTTGGGTGAACATATTTGTCCTTTATTGAACTGTAAAATGTATTTTTGGCAATGATAAAGATGGACCGGTGCTCATGAATTTTTTAATCACTTCATCTTTGCCTTTTAGTAGTTGTTTTATTATTTTTAATTTACTTTTAACTGAATCTCCAAGATACTTCCTGGAGTATACCTGGAGGGAGTTTCAGGGGTCAACGCCCCTGGGCGCTGGTCTGAGATCAGACCTCGTGGTGGATCAGGGCCTGATCAACCAGGTTGCTACTTCTGGCCGCGTGCGAACCAACGTACAAACCACAGCCCGGCGATCAGGTACTGACTTTAGGTGCCTGTCCAGCTCCTTCTTGATGACAGCCAGGGGTCTACTGGTAATCACCTTATGTATGCTGGGAGGCAGTTGAACAGTCTTGGGCCATTGACACTTATTGTGTTCTCTTAGTGTACTTGTGGCACCCTACCTTTTCATTGAGAAGAAATTGCATTTCCTACCAAGTCTTTTGCTGTCATAGGGAGTGATTTTCGTATGCAGATTTGGGACAAGTCCCTCTAGGATTTTCCAAGTGTACGTATTGTGTATTTTTATACGTACATACTTCTAAACTGTTGTATTCTGAGCACCTCTGCAAAAACAGTGATTATGTGTGAGTGAG